TTACAACGGCTGCCCCACCCTTCAAACCGTTTATCTCTTATTCATTAAAATAAAATGATAATAATTGAACTTCATGAGTCGTTCAATATTTGAAAAGTCGATAAGTATTGATTTGAACATGCAGATATACCTTGAGAAATGTAGCTCGCTGCTGGACATACGAGACCTCACTTCTTGTGGACGAACAGATCTCCAACGAGCTTCCATATAATGAGTACTTAGAGTTCTTTGCACCAGATCTTCAGTTGCATCCAGAAATCAGCAGGTTTGGCACTAAATCCATTGTATATATTGAGCATCTGCAATTAACCTATCCTAGAAAACTTTCAAGGTCATTATCATTATTGCACTGTGTGGCTAAAATACCATAATATTCGACACAGAATTAAGTGGTTACTAAATCTCATATAAGTCAATGTATATTGCCATCTATTTGAAGAAAGAAGATTGCTGTCTCTATTACAAAAATAGCATCTTGTTTGCATTATAGTAATTATTGCCAACACAAATTGACGTAATATTAGGCAATCTCTCTTAAATTTATGTAAAAATGTACCAGGTCCAGCAAATGTACCTGGACAGCAGCAAGGAGCATTTGATCCATAATATAATTTCCTAAATTAACTTTCCAGGCCTGAAAGCACAAACAATGCCAATAGCAAAGCTTATTTAGAAGCTATAACCAAATATGTATGCGATAATCTGAAGATGTGTCAACATTCGCCCGCAGTACAAATGACTCATATACCAGGTATTCATGTTAGACTTAACACAAGCAGTTTACAAATTTTTGCCACAGGTCATCTAAATATTGAGTAATTAATGTAACGAAAAAAACCCTTTCTGTATTACTTAGAAAAGTCATAGAGCAAAACATCATAGACATTCTAAACATCAAAATAGTTAATAATTAACAGAGGGTCCTGATCGTATAGTCATATATACAGGTCTATTCCTGAAAGATAACCTCACAGATCAAGTTGATCATGACCTTCAAACTGGTCATTGACCTGCATGACCAGTTTGAAGGTCATGATCATCATCAACCGGTATGTCCACTGTTGGATATAGGCCTTTCTATACGACGTCTTAATTAACGCTCCCCCACCATTTGCATCCACTTCTAGCAGCCCGATCCTCTATACGGTGCTTGCAGTTAGTAACATTCAAAATCTATTAAGTCTGCCTTTCTATAATCACCTCTTCTTCTTGAATGTAGTTTTAAGTTAAAAATCTTAATTTTCCAGGTGACTTCTTCCCTGAAGACTACCGAATCAAGGACGAACCCGATCCTGACGTTCGTATCAGTCAGGACGATGCTGACAAAATGGTGGAGCCCAAAAACGAGTTTTACGAAGACGAGAAAGATAACGATAAGGAGTTGCCACCAGAGATTAAGGATCCATAGCAAATAGAACTGCCTCCGGATCCCCTCGCTATATGACATGTGCACAAGAAGTACAGAATGAGCATTCTAGCTCTAGCAGACTAAGGCACCGGAGGTAGACAGTGATTTGAAAACGTTAATAAAGTGTTTGTGTTAGGTCTGTTAAGTGTAAAAAAAAACATTATAGTGCCAGTGTTTTTTTGATTGCAGTGGGTATGGCTTCTTTACTGTAACACTAGAAACAAATTACATTCCACATCAAACGATCATGGCAATATTGGTATTAATTTTATTGTGAATATATTAAATAGAGTAATACTACGTAATATTACAACGGCTTTAACAGTATAGAGTGAAAATTTTGGATGTTGTATGATTTCAATGTATGTTATTATGATAAATATAAGTTTTACCTTTCTTTTTTATAACTTCGATGGGTGGGTGGGTGAATTCAGGTTCCTCCTGGTGTTAAGTAGTTAACAGAGCATCATTGCTTCACAGCAGAAATAGGCAGGTTAGTGGTACTTACCCGTGTGGGCTCACAACACTTCCTACCACCAGTACCACATATTAGTTTATTTCTATCTCACTTCACGTTTTAATAATAGAATGAAATTTTGAAGCAAGATTTCCAATTAGAATAATGTATGAATGTGTGGTAATTTTATAGACAGTGCAGGCTGACAACAACATCTTTGAATCGAGCAGTCAATGAATTAGCTCAGCTTGCTTAGAAATTAATTGTTATTATTTTAATTTTTTTTTATTGCTTAGATGGGTGGACGAGCTCACAGTCCACCTGGTGTTAAGTGGTTACTGGAGCCCATAGACTTCTACAACGTAAATGCAATGGCGGATCCAGGGGGAGGGTCATGGGGGTCATGACCACCCCCTGAGCTGGGTCCAGGACTTAGGTGAACCACTAATTGAATATAATGATTTTATTTATATATTTTGTCACCGTACAGATTTTATGTAACTACATACCTTCAATATTTAATTAATTTAATATAATATAATAACTTTGTATAATGGCAAACGTTTGGGAACGAACGCATCTAAATTTGACTATGTGACCCCCTCCTGGCGCCAAAGCTGGATCCGCCCTTGCGTAAATGCGCCATCCACCTTGAGATATAAGTTCTATAGTAGTGTGTGGTGGTAAGTGGTTATAACGGCTGCCCCATCCTTCAAACTGAAACGCATTATTGCTTCACGGCCGAAATAGGCAGGGCGGTGGTACCCACCCGTGCGGACTCTACAGGTCCTACCACCAGTAATCTAGAGGTCCTACCACCAGTATAATAGTGATTAGGAATCGTACTGTGTTGTGAATTAGAGAGATCAATGTCCATTAGTAATTAGCTGTAGATCTCTATGTATGTATCTTTAAAATCAGACTTAAACTTTAATGTATAATTTGCTATTATTTATACCAGCCGGTTATTTATTAAAAGTTCTGTAACTCTGTTAGTGTTGAGGTTATTTTCACATATTTTGCAGAAATCGGTAAAGGATTTTTGAAAAAACAGTAAGTACCTTATACAAAATTTTTACTTAAAAAAAAAACAAAAATCAATCCTAAATATACAGCAGAATATTTCATAATTTTCATTGATAGAGCGCGCTTAAACACTTCCATATAGGTCGATACCTAATATCTTTAATCAAACTGGGCAATAGTTGGTATTCCGACTTTATACGCGTATATAAAGAGTCAATTTATTCTCACACTCACTCATGCTCAGACACAGAGGGTACATTAATACATTCATTTCTATATTTTTGTTAGGTAATTGTTATATTTTTAAGCTTACATATTGTCACTTTTTTGCAATCCATGAATTTCAGTTTAATTTTTGTCTATATTTGTGTATTTGAACTAAAGCTGATGTATTCTTTGTACGAGGAGTACTGTTGTATGAGATACAGGTTTTATCACCTAGTACCTAGTTCAAGCACAGATGCAAATTATGATTGTCTTTTAAAGTGCCTTAAGCGCTTTATTCACGATTCATCACGGCTGTACGTCAGCTCAAGGCCGCGGTGCTGGATGTATCAAGCGCGAACAGAATTCGACGTACGTCAAGCCTATTCATGATCGTTTTGCATCGTGCATCGTGCATGGCCTTGGCGGGACGTACAGCAAGATGGAACGTAAATAAGGCGCTTTATTCACGATCCGTCTTGCTGTACGTCCCGCCAAGGCCATGCACGATGCACGATGCATTTAGCGCTTTATTCATGATCCATCACGGCTGTACGTCAGCTCAAGGCCGCAATTAATAATAATTATCGACGTACGTCAAGCCTATTCATGATCCTTTTGCATCGTGCATCGTGCATGGCCTTGGCGGGACGTACAGCAAGATGGATCGTGAATAAGGCGCTTTACTTCTACGTTAATAATTAAAAAAAAAATTAAAAAAAATTATCGACGATTCGCGCTCTAAGAATTAAATAACAAAGTTTAGGCGAGCTGATTCCGAATGTCAAGTATTTTGATTATTTTTAGTCGATTTCATTAACTTTACTCGTAATTAATTCAAAATGATTAACATTCAAAATAAACTTGTAGTCAAAATGGTTTCTATGTAAATTATCTATATTATTAACAAAGTTAGCTTATGAAATACCTCCATAGTATTCAAAATATACTATAAAGAACATTTGTTTTTCAATTAATCAGATTGTTGATGCACGATGACATGTATTTTTTTCATGCAGCATTCGCAACATTACGTCACGATTATCTTGCGCATACCCGATCCCGTGGACCTAATGGTATACAGTCTACGTCGCCTTAAACACGTCATTTCGGATCCTCCCGGTCCACTAACGGTGCTTTTTGGTAGGTACCTCAAGCACCGGTCACCGTTTTCGTCGAACCCATCGCTTGCGACGAAGGGTTCAGCGAGTAAACCAGCCCACTGAGTTTCTCGCCAGATCTTCTCAGTGGCTGGCGCTTCCGATCCGGTGGTAGATTCTGCGACGCACTTCTCTTGCTAAGGCTAGTGTTAGCAACATCCTCTGTAGAGCCTCGTGAGCTCACATACGCGCTCCGTTAAGCTGGCATAGTCTCAAGGCTACCAGTTTAGGTAGGGAAAAACAAAAATTACCTTGCGTTGGTGCGCTGTATGAAGTTTTAATTCCTTTGCATAAATTATCTATGCCAAATCATGAAATCACAATGACAGTCATCAGTCAAATTAATAGCTAAGCATGTTATTTACGTACATTTACTTTGCTGCTTAATAATTAATATTATTTTCTTTTAATGGTTATTCTCAGCACACATTTCCAGTCATTCAACAAGTATTGTTTGATAGTATTTACGATAAAGTAGGTAGATTATTTGAATTTGTGAACGCAAAATTTATGAAAAAAAGTAGGTAATGTTGTTTAATGATGTTTTACATCTAATGTTTACGTGTTAATAATTAATGTTCTAGATATTATAATTACGTACATGCTTTTTATAATCCTGTTTCAATTATTGCTTTTATATCAACTTATCGGTGTTAGCACAAAAGTTCCTATTTTTATTCATAAAAGAGGGCACTTGAAAGTTTTTGATGTGGATTGACGAGGTACCTATGTCTTTTGAAGTGAAAGTATATTGGCGTCGATTTGATTTGAATCTCGATGAAACGAAAGAGACGAAACATATGACCTGTGTGAGAGTGAGATAGAATGATTCATAAGGTTTCGTTTCTACTTCCAGTTTACTCGGTCTGTGATTGATTAATCTTAATAGTTTTTGGCATTTAGGAACAGGTTTTGTATCACAGTACGATTGACGAACGGTAAGTAGCGCGCTAACAGTTGCAAGAATGATAAATGAAAAAAAACAATGATAATTGATAAACTTAGCGATAAACAGATTGGGGTTTCGGATTTCGCTAGTTTCTGTTAATTAAGTATAATTGTTGTGGTTTTAGAATATAATTTTTTAACATAAAGTGGGGATTTGGTTAGTATTCTACAATCTGAAACAAGCCATATTGTCAGGATTAGAAAAGTTAACAGAAGAACAAAAACAATGTCAATAGTAAAATATTTTATTATTAAAATAAATACAGTACATACAGTAATTAATCCTAATAACTACCTAGTTTTAGATCCAAATTATTATCGCTGATGTACCTATGAAAGTCGCTTGTGTCCTCATTTAGATCTACAGTCAACATTTGTAGTTTGTCACAACTTTGTATTATATCTTTTACCACGTTTTTTGAAACCTCCAAAGTGCAGTCTAACCATAGATTGTCGATGTTTTTGAAACATCCTTTACGCAGTAAGCTAGACAAAGTATTATCAATGTTGACTTTAGTTTGATATTTCAGTACCAGTGTTTGAAGATTGCTCGTACAATTAAGGAAAAAAGTTAAAATCTGTTCAATACTAAATGTATCGTTGCCTATTGTTAGGTGCTGTAAATTGTTGAAGATATTATTTGGTCGCTGGAAATATCTCGGCACCTCCAAGCTTTTAGATTGACTCATTAAATAGAGAGAGTTCAAATTCGTGCAACATAGTCCTATCGATAAAATCGCGTCCAAAGTCAAAGAGTTCTCGATTTCCCACAGAGAGAAATGAGTCAAATAACAGCCCTTGAATAGTAGGAGTTTCTGCATTGACTCCGAGTATGAGAAGAAAGATAAATTTAACCTATTCAGTCTTAGTTCACTGGTTGAAATCTGCTCTAATATAGCGTCTTTGTTATGCTCGGACAAGTGCGTGATTGATAATTCACGTAAGCACGGACATATGTTTATTAGTTTTCGAATACCGTCAGCTGAAGCGTAATGACAGTTGACTTTCTGAAGACTCAAAGGACCTATTTCCATGACAGTGCCGATTAAGGTGGAACCGATATCGCAGGATTCGATTCTCAGTTCTTCTAAACGCGGTAATTCGTTTATCAACATGATGATGCCGGCTTGAGAGACGCAACGGCCGACGCGGTTGGCTCGTTCGTTCCGTGGCGGGTCCATCGCTAGAATACGTAAAAGTTTCAATGGCGCAATCGAGTATAAACCAGCATCAGACACATTTCTGATCAAAACGGATGCATTAAAAAGAGATTTGTATATATCAACTTTCGAGACTATGTTTAGTTCCTCGAGAAGGAGACAATTCAGGCCGACTACGTTGAGTATTTCGTCTGTGCATATGAATTTGAGGTCGAGAACGACAAGACGACTGAATTTCGAGAGAGTTTCGATCCAGAATGGTTGGGGTATTGAGTTATCGAGATCGCATTTGCGGAAGACTGTCATGTTGGGATGCGTCAACACGTGGAGCTGAATACGAGGATCGCCACGGTACTGGCAGCATGTTCGTTCTGAACAGAGGACATCGAATAACCTGGAACAATGTAATTGATATTAATTAAATAGCTGTGTATGTGGTTTTTTTATTTTTTTTATTTCTTAGATGGGTAGTCGAACTCACAGCCCACCTGGTGTTAAGTGGTAACTGGAGCCCATGGACATCTACAACGTAAATGCGCCACCCACCTTGAGATATAAGTTCTAAGACCTCAAGTATAGTTACAACGGCTGCCCCACTTTTTAAACCGAAACGCATTACTGCTTCACAGCAGAAATAGCCAGGGCGGTGGTACCTATCCGTGCGGACTCAAGAGGTCCTATCACCAGTTAGTGTAGTTCATCTTAAGCGTTAACTGAATTATAATACTATTAATTTAAATTGGGTATTTTTTGTTGACACAGGCAGATCAATATTATGCTTACATCAAGTTTTTTTATGGGGTGGCCGAGTATACTGCCCATGAGATGGTGGATGATTGCCGTCTCTCATGTGAGAAATACCAGGGGCATAGCTAAGCCTCTGCCTACTGCTGAGTTATCTGCCCAAACCTTATCTATTATCATACTGAAATACTTTGATCATACTTGAATATTACTACTGTAAAATTACTAGTCGTAGGTCACTCCAAGTCACAGGTTCCAGAGACAAAAACTGGTCTATGTTTGTGTCTTCTCCAAAATACTAGTTTTAATAGTGATACTGAATTTAGCTGGGCATTGACCCTGTTGTTATTTGTCAACAAACGACAAATTCCACAATTTGTTGTCCAGTACAACTTAAAAAGTTTGAATGAGTTTGTACTCGATCACCATCAATCAGTCATTTTTAAGCACTTACGGGACAGCTTAGATGTTGTAGTATGAAGGGCAATTGCCAACTTGGGACATGAGTTTAAAGATTTAATTATACTATTACTATAGCTATCATCTTATTGATGTACAGGTAATGCTTTTGTAAGACTTGTATTATTTGAGTATATAAATAAGGAGAATCTAAATCAAAACTCATAATTCACTTAAGTTTTTGTGCAATTGAAATATCTGGTTTGAAGTCTATATTGGTTTATTGGTATTGCTAAAAGTTGGCTGCCACAATACAGATTTATAGGATGGCACTGCATTTTGTGTGAGGTGGATCTGTTTATGTTCAGACCAATCTGTTTTGAGATCNTTGTATTATTTGAGTATATAAATAAGGAGAATCTAAATCAAAACTCATAATTCACTTAAGTTTTTGTGCAATTGAAATATCTGGTTTGAAGTCTATATTGGTTTATTGGTATTGCTAAAAGTTGGCTGCCACAATACAGATTTATAGGATGGCACTGCATTTTGTGTGAGGTGGATCTGTTTATGTTCAGACCAATCTGTTTTGAGATCGTTTTTATAGCAAATTTAATCATTAATGGATAGGTCTGTTTCTGATAGACTTCTATGAAAACTGAATCATCATCATTGCATTATTTTGTTAAATTGTGATATTTTGGTACCAATGATCCCAAAATGTGATTATTATGGTCATAGTGATCACGAATGATGAAAGCAGGCAACTCATAAATTTAAAACCATTAATAACATGACAGTCTACAGTACTTGACCAGTTCAAATGGTCAGTCTTTTTAAATGCATTTTTATGAACATATTCCTCTTAGTGTCAGTGGTGGTCGGTTCAAGCTTAAAATATATGAACAGAAGGCAAATGTAATAACGATGTATAATGCCATGAATTATGGTTAAAAGTTTTTACCTGCATGGTAAAACAGTCATCAGGTGGCATTTCAATGAATATACTTTTTTTTCACACTCATCGAACTCTCCCTCTGAACAACTTTTTTCGATAACGTAACAAGCGTAATTAATTACATTTAAACAACTCTTAATGCTTAATTGAAATAATCTTTGTGGTTGTTTAGGGGGCGACATTTGTTAAAATAATTCTAGTTGGTTATGTTAATTTCAATATGTAAAAGTGTACTTTTATACATTATTTTTGTGACATTTTACATATTAATAATAGTATTTTTGTCCTTTCTAAAACCTATTGTGCTCACTACTGCGTAGTAAGTACGTATCACATTTTTATGCAATGGTCACAAAAATGTCACTGAACTGACTTATGTAGCTAATCAATGTTTTTTCTGTTTTGCTGTAGGTACGTACGGTTGTCACTTTTCAGTAAATTTCTCAACTTCAAAAAAAAAATTCTCAACAGGAAAGGCGAAGGTATCGCACCCTACGGCCTAATCTTTTATAAAAATCTTTTAAATGAATAATAATAATTTGTGTTTTAGGAGAATTGATATGGAGCGAAATGATAAAGTTTATTCATTTGAGACATTACTAATCAATTGAAGTGAAATTAAATTAAACGAGTTGACATGAAAGGATGAAATATTATAGACTCAGTAAAGTGGTCGTTGTTTACTGAGACTGTTTAGAAGATCACGTGAACCTACGTTCAGTGGCTTTGTTTAAAATTTCTAGATTTTTGCACTTTCACAGATACTAAAAAGTTAATAAACAACCGTTAACACCGTACACATTTAAATCCGAAGAAACACTCACACACAATTTACATAGCCTCTCCTCGCGTTTCCGCCAAAAAGTCTGGTCACTTTTTGCTCATTTCCATAGAGTGAACTCCACGGTATTCCTCAATTAGCCAGAGAATGGAAACGCAGACCAAACTTACAGCTAAATTTCATGACTTAGTGATGATGATGATGACATGATTAAAATTTTATTTTGTTAGCCCGCTTTGCTCAGCGATCTTTTATGCCTGTTTCATTCGATCGCTATCAAGCTTCAGAAGATCACCCGGTAAATCAATCTGAAGATATTAAAAAAATTACGTCAAAAGCGCGCAGCCGTTTCGGAGTCTAGGGATATATTATATAAACAGATACAGCACATTTAGCATAACATTTAGAAGTAGGCAGCAGCATGGCTTTGCTCCTGGCATTGTTGACATCCATGAGCGACGGTAACCACTCACCATCAAGTGGGGCGCATGCTCGTCTGCCGACAAGGTGGGCCATGAGCTCGTCCAATCATATCTATATATGTAACTATACCTGAGATCTTAGAACTTATATCTCGAGGTGGGTGGCGCATTTACGTAGTAGATGTCTATGGGCTCCAGTAACCACTTAACACCAGGTGGGCTGTGAGCTCGTCCATCCATCTAAGCAATAAAAAAATAAATAAAAATAAAATATAAAAATGAATTGCTGTTCGTTAGTCTCGCTAAAACTCGAGAACGGTTGGACCGATTTGGATAATTTTGTTCTTGAATTATTTAAGTCCAGAGAAGGGTTAAAAGGTAGATAAATTGAAAATGCTCGGAATTAAATAAAAATAACAATTTTGTTTTTCCTTTGATGTGTCCCCCGTCGGACGGATTGTTGCTTTTAAGTTTATTTTTTACAAAAGTTTAGGCCTTTTATTTATCCACTGAGGATCTATGAAATCTGCCGGGTCAGCTATATGCAATAAAAAAAATATACAAAAAGTGTGCAATTCACACGTGGTAGAAGTGAAACCTTCCAAAATTAAAATACAATTATCCTAAACGTCTTCAGTATATGTAAAATTTTCTCATTAGTAAATAATTGTAAGGTAGCGCCCTCTGTGAATTGATATTTTAATTTCACGTATAATCCTAAATTAAAATTCACTACAAGAGCTTTCATACACACGTTAGTATTAAAAAATCTCACAGATGGCGCTGTATTAAATAGTATGTATATTTCTGTCTCATTCTTTGCTGGCTTCATCCNATTGATATTTTAATTTCACGTATAATCCTAAATTAAAATTCACTACAAGAGCTTTCATACACACGTTAGTATTAAAAAATCTCACAGATGGCGCTGTATTAAATAGTATGTATATTTCTGTCTCATTCTTTGCTGGCTTCATCCTACACATTTTTGTATTTGTGTCTCTTACCTGTCGTTTTTTCTGTTGCATCCGGTTTGAAATCACGATTCTAAAGAAGTTTTCACTTCAATAAATAAAAAATACACAGAATGGCTATGGCCTTTTAAATTATTTATATCTGATGAATAATTTTGTTGTGCTATTGAGTATAATCATAATAAATCAATTAATGATCTGTTCATTTTGTGACGATATAAGAAGGAATTAGACTTCTTGGAACCGAACAAAATATTATATATTTATGTTAAATTAGATTGTTTATAGACTTGACTTGAGGTTTTTAACGTGAACAACATTTCACTTAATTACACTGACTTCTGAATACAGAGATCAATATCACTTATACCATATTTGCATAAGTTATGTCTATTTTTTGCTGTAATGTTCGAAATCTCGTCTATTATACATAATGGATGCTTTTGTAGCTTGCTTCTCATCTGTTTCTCGTCTTAAATATGAAGTGTATATTATCTATGATTTCTCGTTGAGTTCAGTGTGCTTAGTGCGAGTTTTTAGTTTTAGTTAGCTCATATATTTGTATGGAATGGGATCGTTTGCTTACGTCTGCCGCTAGGGGCGCTGTTCCAACTGCATACAAAATTGGGTTAACTTTTACGCTATCGAGAACGTTAAGAAGCTCGCACTAAGCACACAGAGCACAACATGACTTTAGGTCTCTCAAATAATTTAGAATGTATTGTATGGGACCAATGTACCAGTGTTTTTTTTTTATTGCTTAGATGGGTGGACGAGCTCACAGCCCACCTGATATTAAGTGGTTACTGGAGCCCATAGACATCTATAATGTAAATGCGCCACCCACCGTGAGATATAAGTTCTAAGGTCTCAGTATAGTTACAACGGCTGTCCCACCCTTCAAACCGAAACGCATTACTGCTTCACGGCAGAAATAGGCGCGGCGGTGGTACCTACCCGTGCGGACTCACAAGAGGTCCTACCACCAGTAATTACGCAAATTATAATTTTGCGGGTTTGATTTTTATTACACAATGTTATTCCTTCACCGTGGAAGTCAATCGTGAACAATTGTTAAGTACGTATTTCATTAGAAAAATTGTAGATCAATCCTAGGCTAAAGTAGAAAACAATAAATTTTAAGCGTAATATCCAGTTCATTTAATTATTTGTGTGTTCTGTGTAACGCATATGTTTTTATTTTCAAAACTATATTTTTAGTATTCTTAGAAAGGCTCGGATAAAATGAAAGATCTCTCACCATTAGCGTTTAGAAATAAGAAAATACTTCAAATCAATTGTTTTATTTTGTTAAATTACTTCTAGAACTATCTAAATTACAAATTAAATTAAAGTAAAAATATTTTTAATTACATTACTTAAATATACTATCAATATCTATTTTGTATCTACATTATTACATAGAATAGCGTAGGTAATTCTTGTCTCTCTAGTATTTGTACACTATAATATTCAGTGTAATGAGTATTTCTCTAATTTACACGTGTTGAAATATTTAAGCAGAATAATTTTTTTAAAGCTATTTGAGTGAGGCGGGTGCTTGGCGCGACAGATTTGAGCGAGTTATGTAGTTGCCTTCAAATGTTCCTAATGCGGACGGGGCTCATTCCCGATCCTGCGGACAGAATGGAAAGCAGTCGATGTCGCCCCAAACACGTCATTTCGGTTCCTCCTGATCCACTAACGGTGCTTTTAGGTACCTCAAGCACCGGTCATCGTTCTCGTCGAACCCGTCGCTTGCGACGAAGGGCTCGACGAGTAAATTAACCCTCAGACACAGCCCACTGAGTTTCTCGCCGGATCTTCTCAGTGGGTCGTGTTTCCGATCCGGTGGTAGATTCTGCGAAGCACGGCTCTTGCTAGGGTTCGTGTTAGCAACGTCGGCAGGTTTGAGCCCCGTGAGCTCACCTACTAGTTAAGATTACGCTGATATAGCCTCTCAAGGTTCTCAGCTTAGGTAGGAAAAAGAAGCAGACGGGCTGCGGAGGTTTCATGTTTTATATTTCCCGCCACAATACTAAATTAAAGTTATCAGCTGTTTTTTCGACTGAGGAAAAGCCTCGAGTGCTGCCAATTAGAAGATGTTTTTTTCGCTAATCCCACAGTTTGAATTTTGTTGAGCGGTGTCTAGGTACATTAGAGGTAAATAACATTTTAGAATACGGGCTATTTATGAAAAAAGCTTTAATGGGTGATTGAGGTCATGGTCTATTTGGTGTTAGATGGTTACCAGGATCCATCGCAACGTGAATACCGTCGCCCAAGACGGTAAAGCTTAAAAAATTGGGAATTTGGCTCTAACCTTATATTTAATTTAGGTAATTCGTGATCAGGTATTGTTATACATAAAACATAGTACATATATTATATTTTACAGATTTAGGAATACCGATTAAACTAATATTTACATTATTTTAGAAGATTAGTAACTAGTAGGTACTTTTCAGAGTTTATATATTATTATGGCTTAAATTTTGATTAGAACCTTTTGTTTGGCACGAAACGGAATGTTTTGGAATGCATCTTAAAATAATTTTACTGTAATATTTCGATTATGTTTTTGTTCTTTAAGTTTATTTGGTAGCAATTTATTTATTTATTTGGGAAACAAATAGTGCCAAGCAACCATACAGTGCATTAAAAAAATGTGTGAGCCGTCACGGGACGCCGGGCAGATGTGAAACATCGACATTATTTTGTAAAAGTAATATGCAGAAAAGAACAGATTCTGATATAGGAACTAAATATGTCATAATGATAAAATTACGAAAAAATAATTTGTTTTCAAGTAAAACACAGGTTATGTGTACTGTAGTAAACAACACTGTATACACTACGGAGTATACACTATAGGTATCCGAGCTCAGTGTAGCGAGAGAGATGGCTTAACGCCGGATCGAGTGGCAGAGAATCGCACAGTCGATTGCGCATGGCGACGCGTCGCCACACCGTACACACTACTGCATATTATTATAGACTGTATATATATACGATCATATAGCGTGGCGACGCGTCGCCACGGCATGCGTCGCCACGCCAGAAATCGGTTTTACGTGCGGCTATAGATGTTTCACATTAATAAGTTAACAAAAACCAAACAAGTTTCCGCCACGCATGAGTAGAAAATGAATTTATCAGTTATAAATGAATGTGTGATTATACCGTAATAATAAATGTTTAATTAAAGTGGTATTTCAGAATCTGAAGACACGAATTTTGGTGCTAGTTAGTGAGTAATACCTGACGCTAACAAGCGGCTATAGATAGGATTTTTTTGGTCACTACATTTTGGCAATGCCGATTTCCCTACTTTTTCTGATAGTCTCCCTCTCTATTAACTACTTACCTACCTACTAATTCCTTGCTTGTCTTGCACAATAAGAGTCGCAGAATTACAAAATTCATACTAAAGTTTATAGTTAGCATCATTTTCATTATTAATAAAGTTTATGAACTAGCATAGTAATTCTGAATCCACAACATGTATTATGGTAACTATAGATAATATCTACTCTTATCTAAATATATTACAATATATGTCAGACCACAATTTGAATTATGCTAATAAGATAGGTTGTTCACAGAAACGCAAATTATAAAATATTTATTCCTTTGTTTTAGCTAAGTCCTAATTAATCATATTTTAATTTCACTTCGAGTTAATTTCGACGATTACCTACTTAACAACCTGTATGCATATTTATTGGAATGCGATCTTATTTTACAATACAATGACTTAATAATATGAAAAATAATAGGTAAATACACGATTTGTGCACAAGATTGTTATTTACTTATAGCTAGGTTACCTACTAAAGAAAACTACAAAAAACTTTGAAGTTGAACTTCTAAACGCTTCGATTACTAGTTAATGATTATACTGTTCTCTCTGACTACTAAATTGTCTACAATACAATAAATTATTTATTAAGTTACAGTACAAACTTGATACCATAGACAAAAAATTTGCTGAATGTCGAATACGGAGGCGTTGTTAGAAATATTAAGTAACAAAAAGGCGGCAAATTAAAAACATATCTTCGGAACGCCAATTGAAACAATTATATCTACTTTACACATATAAATATGAAACAATAAAACAAGTTTTAGTAATACATGTATTTCTTTTTTATTTTAAAGGTTTCTATGGATTGTTTGTACTTTGATCAAAGCACGTAAGTTATGTAACTTACCTTTTGATCTTTTGATCCATAAATTTATAGTGAAGGAATTTAATCTATGTAATCTTATTCAAGACTGGATCGACTGACAACGCAACGTGCAAAATCTCAATGTACCACAAGAAACAATATTAAATCGTGATCATCGTAAAAAATGATAATTACCAAAAGCTGACCGCCATCTTGATGCTCATTCGTGTTTTGATCAATATTCTCTCGTTCATCACTCACGTTTCTAAATGCATCGGCGGAATCGCTGTTAACATTTTCAACGGCTCTACTATTATTACCTGTATTTTTGTGTTCATTGCCGTCCCTAACGTTTTGTTTCCCATCACCAGAACATTCGTTATGTTCAACGACATTAGCCTTTGCGGTATCTGTCGTATTTTCCCTGTCGTTACTTAATAATTTGAAATTTGCTTCACCATTAAAAGCCCAATTCTCACGTATTGTTTCGTTCGAGTGTTCTAATTCATCATTCGTAAAATCTACATTATCATTATTTAAATAAGATTCAAATTTTAATGGATTTTTTTGTTGTGTTTCTTTTGCATCATCTATCACGCATGTATCAGTTTCGCTATCATTACCTCTCGTGTCGTCTGATGTAGATATATCTCTAGAACATTCTTCAATTTTCGAGTAGCAGAGAGAGGGAACATTTTTGTTGTTTAGTGGACTCCATTTGGGCTCTGTTTTGAGTCCATGTTGCGTGACGGATCAGAGTCGCTTATGCGATTCTGTGCTGGTGTTCTTCAGGGAGCCGAATCGACGAGTTTCCGAGGATGGAGTGGTTTCTCGATCAAGACTCGCTGCTCGGAGGATCAGCCCTCTTGATTGTCGGAGCGAGGACTCTGGTCCTAGCTGGGGACGGAGTCAGTTATTTTGAAATAGATAAAGCTATGAATACTAGTGTTGTGTTGTTAGTAAAGTTGAGTAAATGAGCTTGCGGCCAGATTTTTCGCAGCTACCGAATCTCATACACAAGGTTTGAAAGTATACCTTAACCATTATGCCTGTATTTCAATTATTTTAACAACTATAACCCCAATCATTAAATTAGCCTGCAAAAATTGATTGATAGCTTTAGTATAGATTTTATTGGTTTATTAAAAAACTCGTAATTCTATATTTTCTGCATAATAATTAGCTGGGCTTTACTGCCTGTAAAGACTTCATTAATGAAAAACTAGTGCTGATGGTAGGACGTCTTGTGAGTCTGCACGAGTAGGTACCAGCGCCCTGCCTATTTCTGCCGTGAAGCAGTAATGAGGGTCGGTTTGAAGGGTAGATAGATAGATTTATATGGTCTTCGGTAACCATTTAACACCAGGTGGACCGTGAGCTCTTCCACCTATCTAAATCGCAATAAATAAAAAACTACTTACCGGTTCAACCAATGAAGCGACTCTGTACTGTCTCGTAGGAGTTCTTTGCAAGTAAGATGATTGCGGGAGCAGTGGTACAGAGGCCGGTGACCGCTCTGGGCTTTCATCACGTAGTGGTGTGTCTGATTCCTGGTTTTAGAGATAGAGAGGCGTATAAAAATAAATTTGGCATTAATCCAAAATATTATTATAAAAGTATCTAATACTCTGCCCAATTGAATATTGATTTTCAAATTCGATAGGTGTTACTTATATCTACCTATAAAATACAGATATTGCCTTTCTGTCAGACTAACTATGGTCTAAGCAGGGTTGAAGTAGTAGTTTTAAAAAGATGAGAAATAATGATGGTATATTTTGCTTAGACATTAAAGTCGACTGAATAAGATTCTTTCCGAGAAAAAATGTACCTTTTTTCTTGCTTTTATGGATGAACGAGCTCACAGCCCACCTGGTGTTAAGTGGTTACTGGAGCCCATAGACATCTACGACGTAAATGCGCCACCCACGTTGAGATATTATAAGTTCAAAGGTCTCAAGTGTAGTTACAACGGCTGTCCCACCCTTCAAACCGAAACGTATTACTGCTTCACGGCAGAAATAGGCAGAGTGGTGGTACCTACCCGCGCGGACTCACAAGAGGTACTACCACCAGTAAACCTTAAGTAGCTCGTGTCTCATTGGTTTTTTTTAACTCAAATATATCGCTAGGTACAGTCTCCATAAGCCGGGAGAAATGGCGATTGCTCGTGAGGTGCATAACATCTGCCCACAGCAATGATACAGAATAACAACTACGGCTGCTCTAACAAGAGTGATACGACAAAGGAAAACAGTAAAAACATTTGCTTTAGTCTTAATTTCAATTTAATGACCTCTTCAAGCTCCCGCAGTGTGGTCTCGTACTGGTGTCTTCTGGCTTCTTCTCGTTCTCTCTTCTCTAGTTCGTCGGCCAGCATCATCACCTCCCAGTCTCCGCCACTCCCTGACAACCCTTGCGAAATCAGTTTAAGATTCAAATACAAGAAAAGTCGACTGTGCTTATATAGTCAAGCGTGCGCGGTATTGCTGTATTTCATTCTGTATTGAACTATGACCGAGCGGCATTTCGTCGAACCCGTCGCTTGCGACGAAGGGCTCGATGAGCGAATCAACCCATAGACACAGCCCACTGAGTTTCTCGCCGGATTTTCTCAGTGGGTCGCGTTTCCGATCCGGTGGTAGATTCTGCGAAGCACTGCTCTTGCTAGGATCAGTGTTAGCAATACTCCGGTTTGAGTCCCGCGAGCTCACATACACACGTTAGGGTGAAGCTGAAATAGCCTCTCAAGGCTATCAGCATAGGTAGGAAAAAAAAGCGGCATAGGGGTGCGACTGGTTCAGTATTTAGAGAACGTTAGTGCTTATGTTAGTTATGACTGAGCAATTTGGAATACAATGCGGAGTGAGTGAGCAAGTTTCGCACGATTTGCTTTTTAAGCGGAGTCATGAAAAGCGTAAATGACTTTAAGTTGTTTTATATTTACAACTATGAGGGTCAATTTGGGTAATTAAGTAAATCATATCAGATCTTGCTTATAAATATCACGTTGAAAGGCAAGCGTTATGGTTTTTTTTTTGTTATAACCACAATTTTTTTTGGTTCCTCCTCCAATGGCCACCAAAAAGCGTTCCCAAACTAATCCTGATTAAGGATCGTTTGGAATATTTGGATTCACAGATGGACTTTGGACTTTCCGTTTTATATTGCGCGTTACAGATTACTGGAAAGACGGTTGGAAGTGGCAGCCGTATTGTGATGTGCATGATACGGTGACCACCTTTGATAGACCGCGAGCTCTATGACTGCGAGAACAAGTGGTAAAGCAGCTTTCGGGGAACTTTTTTAATCATTACCCCAAAATATTTTTGTGTAAGTTGATATTACCCCATGGCGAAGACAAAAAAAAAACTAAATCGCTTCGTTTTAGCATCTCTCTTAATATTATAGCCCCATGATAATTTTGAAAAAAAAAAAATTTTTTTTTCGTTTAATTTTTTTTTTATTGCTTAGGTGGCTGGACGAGCTCACAGCCCACCTGGTGTTAAGTGGTTACTGGAGCCCATAGACATCTACAACGTAAATGCGCCACCCACCTTGAGATATAAGTTGTAAGGTCTCAGTATAGTTACAACGGCTGCCCCACCCTTTAAACTGAAACGCATTACTGCTTCACGGCAGAAATAGGCAGGGCGGTGGTACCTACCCGCGCGGACTCACAAGAGGTCCTACCACCAGTAAAATTTCATTTCATTTCGTTCCATAGAATTTGAAATCACAACGCTTCTAAAGAAGTTTCACTTCAATATATAGGTACTTTTTACTCACAAAACTTTCATTTTACCCCCCAAAATTTTATTTTACACCATTTGTGGTAATTCACCCCGGTTCCCCGACCGCTGTGGTAAAGCGAAGTATACATACTGCTGACTGGGGCGTGTCGGGACCGACTCGCGAATTCCTCGAAGGCGGGCGTCCGCGGCGGAGACTCGGAGTCGCTACTGGAAGATGTTGATAATCTAAAATATGAATGAGGTGTCTATTTGGACAGCGGAAGGTGTTTATTGTTTTGTTTTATCGTGTACTTGTATGTGTGGGTATAATTTTATTGGATGTTTAATGTGCGAGGCATTTTGCGGTAGGCAGCGGCTTGGCTCTGCCCCTGGCATTGCCGAAGTCCATGGGCGACGGTAACCACTAACCATCAGGTGGGCCGTATGCTCGTCTGCCTACAAGGGCAATAAGAAAAAATATGTTTGTTTACTTTCATTTATTTAAAATTAGCTTTAATAGATTTGAGAGTATATTTTTCAAATGGGATTTCACAACGAAGTCCATAGATAGCCCATTAATTTAGCTCAAGTCTGAAATAATAAGTCATATTATATCACACAATAAACGAAGGAAAACTTATAGTGTACTGATGTTATTGCTTCATTGTTTCACCGTGGAACTCAATCGTCATTTTATTATAAAAATAGGGAGGCGCCAGCGAGATTTGAACACAGACATGGTCGCTTCATTTTTCGATACCGGGCTTTTTATCCTTTAGGCCAAGTCGCCTTCAAAACAAGGAGCAAGTTGCAATAAATTTTCTATAGTTTCTAGTTGGTTACTGTATTGTATATTTTATTTGTGGACATAAATAAGAATATAGACAATCAATGCGTCTTGATTCAGTCGTACTTGTATCGTTATGTTTAATTGGGCAAGGTGAATGTTGAAATGTTGTGATCATGTTACTGGCGCGTACTGCTTCTATTGATGATGTTGAGATTTTTGTTTAGGGTATGTTTATCAGGATAAATGTGTTAAGGGAGAGTCCATTAATTATCATTTTTTAATTTTTTTTATTTCTTAGTTGGGTGGCCGAGCTCACAGCCCACCTGGTGTTAAGTGGTTACTGGAGCCCATAGACATCTACAACGTAAATGTGCCACCCACCTTGAGATATAAGTTCTAAGGACGAAGTATAGTTACAACGGCTGCTCCACCTTTCAAACCGAAACGCATTACTGCTTCACGGTAGAAATAGGCGGGGCGGTGGTACCTACCCGCGCGGACTTGCAAGATGTCCTACCACCAGTAAAGGTGGTATTACAGTAATTTAAAATTACAATCATAAAATTAAATAAGGTTCTTCGAGTCGCACGCGTCGATATGATTGTTCGATAGCGCTTAAATAATCAAAGCGCTTCTTTGCTGCTCTGCGGGATTAGGACGAATACGACAAACACTACTGTGTCATAATTGGCCATATTGGTGAAAAAGTACAGTAGGAGCCCAATAGAACACTACGATGAGTTGCTCCGGGCATTTCAATATTTCAATAATTGTTACGTTATAATAATACTCATTGTAAAAATGAATATTTAAAAAAAATCTAATATAAAAAAAAAGCATGTCCGCTGAGTTTCTTGCCAGTTCTTCTCAGGATTGAGGCTAGTTTTTGTGAATTGGCGGTAGTTTTTTTGACGTTCAACAAGTATGTGCTTTCATTTATGTTGAATTTTTTATTTTTATTTGATTTGATGCATATCAAATTTAAGACATACGAATCTGTCCAGCTGAGGTCACTGCCCATGTCCAGCACCACGTCGTCGTGAGTCCTGGCGACGGGTCGACGCTGTTGTCCAAAGAACGAACCGAGACTGAACTTCCGATGTTCGCGTTTACCAGATTGTTCTATGAAATAATATTAAAAAAAAATTAACAGGAACAGAAAACCGACTTTAACAACACAAAAAACCGGCACATCGTCAATGTAGACGAATTCAATGAAATATGCATCGTTAAGGATGTGTCAAAAACCATTGGTCAGATCTTGATAAAATTTCAATGGGACTGCATGAACTTTTTCTTTATCTTGAAGTTGCTTAAAATTTTGTTGCAGAGCAGACGCTCTTAAACTTTTAAATTGCTGACATTGGAGTGACTTTTTTATTCTACTTTTTTCTTCTACCTATCTGGTAACTTTGAGGGGCTAAGTATGTCAGCTTATTTGTTCCACGCTTATTCTACAAGGCAGAATACGTAGTTGATTCACGGAAAAAATAGGCAGAATGATGGTATGTCTCTGTATATATAACACGCCGAATCAAAAATATTATCATTGAACATTGAATGTGACACAAATAAAAAATGATAAATAAGCAAATTACGTATTCCTATATTGTAAATTGTACTTGAATTGTCTAAATAGTACGTCTGAAATTAAACACATATTATTTACTTATGGATTAGTATAAATTCTCACTTCTATCATTCCTGCCCGTGTGATGCATTCCGGTGTCAACAGACAAGGTCTTTTTGATTTTTGATTTGGTGTTGTCGAGATGCGAGCCGAAGAAGTGGAAGGGAGTGGTTCTTCTGCTGCTGCGGAGGCTGGACTGTTCTGGACTCAGCAAGGAGCGGTCTTCGGACATTGTGTGCGGGGATAATGGCCTGCAAGTGTAATCAGCATGTAATTCGGTCGTCAGCAGTTTGTCTTGTCTCTCTTGATATACTTTTTACTGGTGGTAGGACCTCTTGTGAGTCCGCACGGGTAGGTACCACCACCCTGCCTATTTCTGCCGTGAAGCAGTAATAATGTGTTTCGGTTTGAAGGGTGGGGCAGCCGTTGTAATTATACTGAGACTTTAGAACTTATATCTCAAGGTGGGTGGCGCATTTACGTTGTAGATGTCTATGGGCTCCAGTAACCTTTTAACACCAGGTGGGCTGTGAGCTCGTCCACCCATATAAGCAATAAAAAAAAAAACAATTCCACATACCTCGTGAGATCATGCATTTCAACACTCTCTTGATCGCTCTGATCTTCCCAAGACTTTCTCTGTCTCAATTTAGCAGCCCGCTTCCTCGAATAAGTTCCCGCTTTCCCATCCAGGTTCAAGTCCATTCTTTTCGACTTGCTAATAGACCACTCCTCTTTACTCGAAGAGCTTTTGTCGCCTTTCGTCAAAGACTCAGCCAAGCTCTGCAGCTCTGAGTACGAAAGCTTTTCTAACTCGATGCCTTCAGTCATTTCTGATAATTTCTCGTCGCTGATGCTCTCGGGGATCTCCTCGTGGGACTGTTCCGGTCTCGCTGCACTGTCGTCTTCAGCGCTGGCTGTTGGTGGAGATGAGGCGAATACCGTGTCTAAAGAATCACCTCTCTGTAAGAACAAAAATTGATTAGCTAGAATATTATTAATTTACATTTCAAAGGCATACGTAAGGGGGAGCGACGCCCGCTGTCACACTTTTCCCCTTGTTTTTCAATTGCAGCCGCCAAGGGCGATACATCGATTTCATATTTCATATATTCATGTATCTTTAATATATAACTAATAAAGATATCAAAACAAATAAAAACAGTCCACTCTCAGTTATCACAACGCAACAATTTATATGGAAGATTTATTCGCTCAATCTCCTCAAGAAAAGATTAATTTTATCAATACTGATATTAATATTTTAAAAGGGACAAATTTGTTAAAATAATTAATCATCCTATTGTTTAAGCTATTTAAATATATCGAAAATATTAAATGTTGTATTGATCACCATAAATCCTTCTTCAAGGTCTTCTTCTTCTTCACTCCCGGAGCTGTTCTTCATGCTGACAGCGACAGGTAGTTCCAGAGGCACCGCCCCCGCGCTGGACGCGAGCCCGAGCCGCTCGAGTTCCTGAATCCTCTTCTGCAGTTGGCTGATGATCTCGTCGCGCTTACGAACCTCATTTTCTAAACTTGTAAATCTACAGCAGCGGCAAACGTAAATCAAATCAACTGTAATTCTTAAGAACAGACGTAATTGCGAAATGATGAGACTTCTAAAGACCACACATGATAGTGTTATCTATACTTATATAATAATACGTGAAGCAAAAACTTTGTACCCCTTTTTACGAAAATTGCGCGGACGGAGGAGTATGAAATATTCCAACACTTATAGAGAATATATTATAGAAGGAGTGCAGAATGTTAATATTTTTTTATATTAATCATAAAAATACATTAAATCAATAAAAAACATTACACACACTACCATGTAGGTATTTGATACACAGCCATATATAACTCCTTGCTTATTGTTAAATTGTTATTGCTTAAAGTCTGTGGTCAAATTGAGAATGGATTAAATATTGTTTATCTTTATTAATATTTGTCTAAAGTGTAGTCTCGGCGAAATCTGTGATTAATGAAGTATAATAATAAATAGTCTTTAACAATAGAACCTTAATAATGTTCAAACTTACAATTTCAATTAATTATAGTCGAATTTCGACTACTGCGGGACTATTAGTTAATTTAAAAAGACCACAGATACCTACTGTGTTTCGGCAATATCATTTGACAATACAATTACGTTCACAAATCAATTAAAAGTAAAGTTACCTTTCTTGAAATTTTAACTGGACGTCTTGTAGATGTCCTTGTATAACTTGTTTGATTCCCAAGAGAACTTCCCCAAAATACTCTTGTTCTTCGATGGAGCCTGCGCAGAGATAGAGCTAATGTAATTTTCGTCACCTGAAGGCGACTTGTGTACTCGTATTGTCAATAGATACAATATTTTTTTTTTATTACTCAATCAAATTTATACCGTGCGATGAAATAATCTATTATCATAGTCTAAGTTGTCTAAATGTTTATTGTAATTTAATTTACTTTTTAAGACATCTCACACGAAACAAAGCTTCCTAAGGAAAATTACCTCTGAGTAGCTTCCTTTGATTTGCAACAGCCGATATTATGGTAAGTTTAGGCTTCTCTTTGGGCACTTTAATATCTTCGGGCCTCAAGTTTTTGAAATCGTACATCGGATCCATATTCTGTTGCAGATGATATTCCGTTCTGAAATTCAGGCCCGTCTCTTTGGTGACTATCGTATCTTCTATCGGTCTTGTGATTTGATTACACGGATCAGGTTCGACCACTTCAGCTTCCGTCAACGGAGGCGATATTTGTGGAACTTGAATGGGAACGTCTGGGATTTGAAAAACGGCACATTTAGAGTCAGCGGGAGCACTAGCCGGAGGTGAAGGTAATGTGTGCCTATGAAAGGTCACACTTTTGGCAAATTTTGAGTGTCTCGCTGCGTATCCTTCGAGAGTTGGTGCTCGAATTAATTTCCTTAACTCATTACTACGTTCAGGACTCTCGGCTGGGGTCACGTCTTCTGATAACTTCTTTAATATAGATTTCAATGTTCGTCTTTCTAGGGTTTCATTGGATTCATGACTTCCGATTGAGTCAGTAGATTTTCGCTTATATTTCCTTTTGTCCATTGTGCTGCCTTCTGAATGACTTCTAGTTAATGTGTCGCAAAGTAGATCCTCCGAAGAACTGGTGCAATCTAAGCTTGAACTTCGAAATTTAACCACCTTTTCCAATTCAGCTAATTTCTGTCTTTCGTTCAAAATCTTGAGTTTCTTAACGAACGGCAATCCTCCGTATTCTGGCGAGAGATCATCGATAGATCTATACTTTTTAACTTTGGGTAAAAGGGTGCCGAGATTTTTAGTTTCAGTAGTTTTCGCTACGTTTCTTTTCGGCGATAATGTCATCAAATCTAGGCTTTTCTCCTGGACGGTTTCTATAGGGCCCGTTAAGCATACCTTAGGGTTTTCCGACTTATCACTATCACTTATAACTTGAACATTATTATTGTCTATCTTCACCAGTTCCGCAGTTGTTACAACGGGAACACATATTTTTACACAGGACTCTACGATTACTTCGGGCGTTTCATTAGTTACATCATCTTTCTTTTCTTCTAAGCTAGATTTACTTTGGCTTTTTGATTCACCTAAAATCGCGGCCTTTTTTAGTTTCGACCACGGCTTTTTATTTTTAATCTCTTCTTTATTGTCCGTAATTTGTATGGGAGGTATTTCTATTGGATTTTTCTCAAAAGATGAAGCTTTCTTTTCTGCAGTCGTATCTGAATCTTTACCACCACTTTGCAGAAGCTTTAATTTATCCCTGAAAGTAGTTCCAACAACTTTCGCTGGCGATTTTATCTTACTCACTACAGAATGTGGAATCGAAATCAAATTGCTTTCTGTTTTAGGTGTGGGCTCAACGACTGCAGACGGTTTTTCGCTACCATCTTTATTTAGAGGCTGGCAAACAGCTGTACCGTCACTCTGGACTTGCAGAATTTTGTCTCTGAAGCTAACTTTCGGTCTAGAAGTCCCGTCACTGGAGCCGGAGGAATTTTTTCTAGAAGTCCTGGTGGTTGGACTTTGAAGCTTTCCCGGGGAACTGGACTCAGAGCCTTTTCTAATGGGACTTAAAGTTTTAACTGTTGGACTCAACGGACTTTTGATAGAAGTGGGGCTTATTGTGTCGGAGCTGGAAGGTTGGTTGCTGGTCGTTGGGGTTAGCTGATTTTTTTCGCGTTCTTCTTTCGCTTTGAGGAGCATCAGCCTTTGAATAAGTGGTAAACCAGCTCCGATTACTTCGGGTTCATCAGGAGCCGCGCTGGTGGATGGGGTCGGCTGGGTTTGTATATTTAACGATACAACTGATGAAGTTGAATGCCTTTGTTTTGCTACTTTTTCTTCTCTATCCTGTAAAATAGACTAGTTCAATACTATGCACTTGCTGTTTTGCGATAGTTATATGTAATGTTAAATAATTCTGTTCTATTTATGATCTTTACCTGTTTTTCCTTTAGAAGTTTTAATCTTGATAATAATGGTAGTCCTGCACCTATGGGGGAAACGCATTTCTCACCATCTTTGCTGCCTGATGTTGTTTCCCCATTGTTATCCTGTGGAATTTAATTTAAAAATTATGTAGTTACAACAAAACCATTTTAGATTTCGATGGTATCAAGCCACATTGCGATTATGATTGAAGCGTAATATTCTTTCCAAACAAGCCAATGGTAATTGGCTAAGCCCTACGAAAACCTTCCTATTCTTCATCAAACGAGGATTATGGAGAGTACCTAACTGGCATTGCTGAAATCCATGGGTGACGGTAACCACTCACCATCAGGTATGCTCGTCTGCCTACAAGGGCAATAAAAAAAACCTACCTCGTGAGGTCCGTGGGCCTGTGAGTCATCACTCTCAACTCGGTTCATTCGTCGCAGCACCTTCCCTTCGCCGCCCCCTCCCCCGTTGGCTGCACCGCCTCCCCGCCCCGCGCGCTCCTCGTCCGCCGAGCGGCGCCCCCCACGCGATCTGCTGCGTATGGCGTTACGGATGCCCTGGACATATCAAAACATTCATGTTAAATGTTACTTAAAGGGACTGGAAGTGTTCTTATAGGCAAGTTTTTGTTACGCCGAACCACGTATTAATCGCGTGCTATGTGAAAAGAAAGAAGGGTGTGCAAGAAGAAGTGAAAAGCAAGTCTTGAAATACGATTTATTGTGCTAATGAACACTAGTAGTAGTTCTCGGGAACGTTTTCAATGCACCAGATAAAAACAGTCCTTGAAAACAACGCCTAGTTACACTGCGTACCTAAATAGCTATCATTTACAAGGCAAAGATAAATAGATAAATCGTGTTTCAAGACCTACCTTTCATCTAATAAGTTTTTGCATATCACTACGCTATGAAGACCACAGATTCCCGGGGTGCGTGCGTCGGCGTAGCAACGTCTTACCTATAAGAACACTTCAAGTCCCGTTAAGTTAACTTACTGGTGGTAAGACCTCTTGTGAGTCCGCGCGGGTAGGTACCACCGCCCTGCCTATTTCTGCCGTGAAGCAGTAACGCGTTTCGGTTTGAAGGGTGGGGCAGCCGCTGTAACTATATTTGAGACCTTAGAACTTATATATCGAGGTGGCGCATTTATGTTGTAGATGTCTATGGGCTCCAGTAACCACTTAAAATCAGGTGGGCTGTGAGCTCGTCCACCTATTTAAGCAATAAAAAAAACATGGTTAGCTACGGTAAGCATCATCAGTAGTCCACTGCAGGACATAGGCCTCTCCAATTGCACACCACTGAGCATAACTTAGGAAAACGTATTTTTTCAAACTACCCTATCAAATGCTTACCTTGACATCACTCCTCAGTTTGTGGACTATTCTCTTGGGACCGCTGTCGTCACCAGCATTTTTATCCGGACTGGTTTCTCCTGAAAGATTTCTCAGGCTGTACTTTTACGGATTTTTTTTCAAAACACCCACAAAGCCATCGAAAAACGAACCATGCATCCGATTGACTTGAAACTTGGTATCCATGTAGAAAATACATGTACTTAATGGATAGACTAATATTTATATGTGTGTTGGAATAATGACAATAAATAATAATGTTAATTTTAAATGCCCAGCGAAGCGGGCGAGTACGGTTAGTCATTTATAGATTTCCAAATTACAAAATCAATGGTATTTTCTTTAAATGTCTACATGTAAACGATTTATGGGAGCTTGGATACTGGAAAAAAAAGCAAAAACATAGATTAACTTTTAATATATAAACACTATTTAATACCCTTGACTTTCTGTCTTGACATGTTCTTGGCTTCCTGCAGTCTTTTCCGGCCCAGGGTCTGGAGGATCTCCTGCGCCTCAGGATAGTCCTTCATCGCAGCGAGCACGTCTTCACGCGAAAGTGAGAACAGCTCCGAATAACCAACGGAACGGACATCTGCTGTCCGTCTGAAGTTGATGTTGTTTAAAAATGATTTATTTATTTAAGGATTACCGACAGGGTTTACAGTAAGACATAAAATAACATTGACATGTATAGAGCAATTGATAACTGCAACTCTAATTAGAGGCAATCACAGCATGCATTACATTAATATATCAATAGAGATTTAACAATACTATTAATAATAATAAAAAATTAAAAACAAAAGAAAGACAATAAGGACAGTAATACCCGATTTAATTAAAATAATAATATTTCAATTGCACTGTGGTTCGATAGAATCGATGGGAGTTTAAATCTACGATCATATCGAAGGGTGAAATTCTATTCGGCTTAAGCGAAATAGCTTTTCACCTATCCATATATAAATACACACTCATCGAGCTCGTATTGTGAGTCCGCGCGGGTAGGTACTACCGCCCTGCCGTGAAGCAGTAATGCGTTTCGGTTTGAAGTATGGGACAGCTGTTGTCATATAAACTGAGACTTTCAATTATCAAGGTGGGTGGCCGCGTTTACGTTGTTGATGTCTATGGGCTCCGGCAACCACAAATGGACCGTGTGCTCGTCCATCCACAATAGCAATAAAAAGCTCCAATACTCAATAGTAAGGTATGAAGTACGATTTTATTTCGTTGTTTTACACGACGATTCAAAAAGCTCATACTTTGTGAGCTTCTACTATCAGGATGTTTGTTTACTACTAAGAGATGGATCTTTAAAGGTGAGTTGGGAAGAGTCCGTGGTTGTAGATACCAGTTTGGCGGTATCTCTAACCTCGCTGACGTTTACGAGCAAGTAATGTAAAAAAAAAAACCCGCAATGGAAATTGAAGTGAGTGACCGTCACTTCTAAACATGAACATCAGTTAGAACAGGAATTCGAATACTAACTTGTTCAATCCGTCTAAGTTCAGTATCCCGATTTCGCCGAAAAAGTCTCCAGCCTTCATGGTGGTTAGTACCCGTCCGGTTTCCGATATCACCTCCAAGATTCCATCGGCTATTATAAACATTTCTCTAGCTACTTCCCCTGAAATACGACGGTAAATAATTGCTGACATACTTCACGTTTTCTTTTACGCTCCTCTTTATAGTAAAACTAGCTTTTGCCCGTGACTTCGTCCGCGTGGAATAGTTCACAAATAATGCTTTATTTTAGAACAAATTTGGTTAGCATAAAAAACGTTATAATGAGCCAACTTTAACATATAGACATATACTGTTGCAGTTTTTTTTTTAGATCTTTTAAAGGGGAACAATTCTCTCATACATTATTTTAGCGAAACTTTAATCATTTCTGCAGCACACGCAGCGGAAGCACTCAAAAGGGTAAAAACCCCGATTTTGAAACATGCTTTCTTGGTGCTCCGCTTGTATTGATTTTAGCGTGATGTTATATAAGCTATAGCCTTCCTTAATAAATGGGCTATCTAACACTCAAAGAATGTTTCAAATCGGACCAGTAGTTCCTGAGATTAGTGCGTTCAAACAAACAAACTCTTTAGCTTTATAATATTAGTATAGATTGACGTGCTCAGTATATGGAACCTAAGCCTCCCCCCACAGCCACATTTCCATCCATAAGTATACAAGGCCCCAGCTTATTTTTCGACTCCTCCCCTAATCCATATCCTGGTGGGATGAGTCCAAAGCGTGCCTCTCCGGTATAGTACTGCCGTGAAACACTATCCAAGACTTAGGTACCCTCACCTCCCGTGAAAACCTATTTGCAGTTGCTTGTTCATATCGATTACCTTTACGACAAATGGAATCGCCAGGTGTGAAGATGTAAGCCTTCATTTTCAAGACGAGGTCATGAAGGAACTCCGGCTGGCACTCTTGGAAGATGGTGACCTGTAACAACACACACGACTAGTAGAACGAACCTTCAGATTTCTTGTCTTAATACCTTCAATATTGTAACGCGCTGGGGTTCGGGATAAATAAAAAGTTCTACCAAAGTACAAATTAAAAACTGTATTCAACACTTAAAAAGACTCAACAAACTCTTTAAAATTCTCAATTCGCTTCTTCCGCTTCGCTTCAGGTGATCCGTTCGCTGTTTCGCTTCCAGTAGTTACGATTACTAACTGACTACGTGCCATCTCTACAACGCTTTTATAGTCGAGACGAAATCCCTAGAATCGCCGAGAATATTCCACAAAAGTCTAGTATGGTATGTTTCCGCTATTTGACAATAGATGGCGTTGTACTTCTCGAGCGTTCTAGATGCTACTAGATTCTTCGATATTAGTTCGACTATTCGGCGATAGATGGCGTTACTCTTACCGGCGTAACAATATTAAGTGTATTATCTATGTTAATGCCCGTGGTGGTATTTAAGTTATGTTCTTTAATGGTTAATTCCTCTGAACTCTTAAATATTAAGTGTATAATGTATGCTATGAACGCAATTTCACTTGTCAACGTCAATGTTGCAGATGTCTGTTTTAAAGGAGGTTTTAAAGGTAGTGGCTTGGCTCTACTCCTGCCATTTCTGAAGTCCACGGGTGATGGTAACCACTCACCATCAGGTTGGCTCGTCTGCCTACAGAGGTATTAAAAAAAGGAGATTTGAGCAGTAAACAGCATAATAGTGGTATTCTTGGCGATGCAGATCAGGTAATCCGTATCTTCCTCTGTCTTCGAAGATATTAAGAAAAAAACATAAGTACTAATAAAACATCACGAATACTAGCCAACATTACAGCATTTCACGTCCAAATTTAATTTACTTTCCTGGAGAATTCGAGGTATTTTTAGTATTTTTTTACTGGTGGTAGGACCTCTTGTGAGTCCGCACGGGTAGGTACCAGCGCCCCGCTTATTTCTGCCGTGAAGCAATAATGCGTTTCGGTTTGAAGGGTGGGGCAGCCGTTGTAACTATACTGAGACCTTAGAACTTATATCTCAAGGTGGGTGGCGCATTTACCACAGTAACCACTTAACACCAGGTGGGCTGTGAGCTCGTCCACCCATCTAAGCAATAAAAAAAAGTCAAATCCCTAACGCAACTTAGCTATTTCTATCTTACCTTTTTAAGTACGCTTAAATTGACATGCAGAGCAAGTTCGGTCTTCAGTTTATCGGGTAGCAGCCCTAGAGCAGTATTGATGTCACCACCTCCTTGGATCCTGCCGCGGGACCACGAGTAATCGTACCATCGTAAAACACGACGTTTCATACCACCCGGCACCTGTAAACGAAGAAAGTACAGTGCGTCAACAATTACGGGTTTATCGTATATATATCGACGCTTGAAAGGCAAACGTGACTAAGCGACAATGCGTGAACTTTACAGTAGACTAATTTACAGTTGGAATACCTGAAAACAAAATTTATTTTAACGAATCTAGCTGTAGTAGAATCTAGCTAGTAGGTGTAGGATTGAAATGATTTTAATAGACCTAGGAATATATTTTTTTTGCGCATCGAATATGGTTATTGCCTATCATTTATGTATAAAGCTTTTATTGTCGCTTAGTCGCGTTTGCCTTTCAAGCGTCGATATATATAGGTATATTTATTGAAAAAAATCGTGTCTTTTAAAAATTAGGTTAAGTGCGTATACTTAATGTACCTAAAAATTAAATGTAAGGTGCATAGCATAATGCAGGATAGTTAGGTTGCCGATAGATCACGCAATTCAATTCTAACCGCGCTCCCGGTGACACTTGCTCCAATTAATTTCGATTTGTTGGTTTTAAATATTTTAATTATTAGAATTAATTAAACTTCTTTTTTTATTTTCTAATAAATCCTCGTAACAGTACGTACGTATGCTCAAGGTTTTTTCTATAAGCGATTTCAGCTAAAAGCCGTTGGTTTTTTGTAGACGTCCTTAAATTCATCAAAACTAACAACTCTATAAAAAAATTTAGCATCAAAATTTTATTAACTTTTGATGCTGTGTTTTCGCTTCTAATCGAGCTGAAATCTTTGGTAAGTTCGTTCAAATAAGGCAAAATGTATTTCTAAAGAGTTTTACTTATAAGGCTACAAACCGCTGTATTTTTTTTTTTAAATGAGCGGTAAAGTGTAGCAGTTTTTAAATCAATCGTGTTCAAAAAGTTCGTGAATGTTTCCTACCTTTTTTGAATTGCAAAACTACACGAAGGATATAAAGTTGTAATCTCGAAGAAAGATAAGCGTTAACGTAAACAGAAGAATAGATAAAGCGTTTAAATTTATTTCAAGCCATTGTATAGTTAAAAAAGTACTAAATCTCTGCAGTTATAACTTGGAATACAAACGTTGGTAATTTAAAGTTTCATCGATTTTATAATCGATTTAATTTTCCGAAACAAATTTTTGACGTTTGTGTTTATTTACTGGGGCAACATAATATGTATAACCAATCAGTAATAGTACATGATCCCTGGTACTCTTTTCATCATTCGGTGAAGTGGGTAGACGAGCTCACAGCCCACCTGGTGTTAAGTGGTTACTGGAGCCCATAGACATCTACAACGTAAATGCGTTATCCATCTTGAGATAAAAGTTCTAAGGTCTCAAGTATAGTTACATCAAGGTCTCAAGTATAGGTCGTGATATTGGAGGGGCAGATATGATGCGTCACATGATGTCTTATCATCTAGACATTTACAACGTAAATGCGCCACCCACCTTGAGATATAAGTTCTAAACTCTCAGTATAGTTACAACGGCTACCCCACCCTTCAAACCGAAACGCATTACTGCTTCACGGCAGAAATAGGCAGGGTACATATTATTCAGAATACTGTTTCATACAAATTATTCAGAATACTGACCTTATGGTGCCTCATGTATGTTTTGGCTCCGTCCAGAAGCCTCTCGAACTCGAGACGGTTCGCGTTCCTATTAGTGATTACATTCCCGACTTGTCCGACAATAGTTGCGAATATAAACACCCCAATTAGATAGCTTACTATTGTGAACACGTACCTGTCGAATTTAAAATTATTAATTAACCGATCGCCAAAAGATTGTCGGACGCGAGCACTGGTGAGCACACTTTTAATGAAAATACACGATTGTAATCTAAGATGGCATTGAGTAAAGACATGATGGTCGTCAGAAGAATCATACGCGGTTGTGATGCATAGAACATACGATATAGAACTGTATGATAAATAGAATATTGGTATAATTAAAATAAGTGGAGCGAAATAGCTAGGATGTGTATATAAAATGAATAATTGTTGGGTATTAATAAAAACAACAGATAAATTGTATCTATCAGGGAAAAGACAAAGATGAACTAAATTCAAATGGTTGATAGTATCTTAATGATTATCAGACAATAAAAGTGAGAGACTAGAGGAAAAAATATCCAAAGGGAACATAGAAAATGAGGCACCATATTGAAGAAGACAAGTGATTGGTGACGACAATGAAACAAGATTTATATGAATCACAGACACAATTAAAAACACGTAATTTTCCTTAATCACGAAAATTGTTGTCGATAAAATAAATTTGCGTCACAGAAGCAGTTGGCAAAATATTCCAATTTCGACGAATAATAATAAGCTTGTCGGTCGTGTCAGCGAAAACTGCAATTTACTTGAAATGTCGGAAATATTTTAATGATAATTAAAAATGCGAGGCTAAACCGTAAAAGTCGATTTTAATTATGTCTACGACAAAGGAAAACCGAGGAAGATATTGTCAGCTATAGAAATTTGGTCAAGGAAAGCCAAAAGTCTAGAGCTGCATGACTATAAACCGTGTGCCAATTTAATGAGAAAAAAATATATATATGAAAAAGAATGTGTCTATAGAAAAAAAAATTAAGTGCAAAGTTTTCGAACAGTACAAGTGTTGCAAAATACCTTAAAAAAAGTGACGTGAAAAACGTGAAGAGGCTCTAAAGTGGCGGTTAAAACTGAAGGCTGTTCGAAAACTTTCTAGAATTTTTCGTATTAAGTTTTTTTTTTTCGAAAAAAGAAAAATAATATAACTCAATAGTTACAAAAATGATTAATTTAAGCTGATCGTCGTTTTGTTGCGTGGAACAATGAAAAAAAAAACCGTTTTTATATTTCGAATTAATGTGGCATTAAGGAAATTTTCCAATTTTTACTCTTAAATTTGCGGGCGTCAATTGTTCAATCATTTTACGTCATACCGCAAATAAGCGCGAAAAACTACTAATGTCAAATTAATGTCAAATGTCATAAAGAATTAATGCCAAATGTCATTCAAATCAGATTATTCTAGAAAGTTTTATGAATTAAACAGTCATTATTCCACGCTCCGATGTAAATGAAAAGACGATCAGTGCGAAAGTCTGTCTGTGTAACACCCAAGTTCGTCGGAGGGACACGAACAGCCTCCAAATTTCTGCCGCCACCATTTTTTTTTTTAATATCTTTTTTTATCACGTTCTGCACACGGCTGTTTTCTTCCAACATAGTGTTTTGATTGATTTATTCATAAAAATACAAATAAGATTATAAATTATTATCAAAATATGCTTACAAAAAAGTTATAATGTTTCAAATTCAAGCTGTGGTGTCGCAAGTCGTGACAGTTTGGGAAGCGCTTTTTCATTTTAAAAATCAATTGTTTGTAAGTACAATTTCTTATGTATTTTGTAATTTGTATTAATAAAAGGTCTATAAAATTATATTCTTTAAAGTAGTTTCTACCCAAAGTGCTCGATATGAGTGCATAAATAAATCACATATGAACACGTGTTCGAAGAAACAGCTTACCTCGGAAAAGAGCATTGCAAATGAAAAACATATTGTTTAAGGCAACGAGTTTGGTCAGATCATGTACGCAGGTTTATTTTATACAGTTTTTTTTCACATTTTTTCCCCTACCTATTCGCTCGTGGCCTAAGGGGCTATTCCAGTTATCGCCGGGCGGGTAAGGGAGCCCACGGGCTTAACCTGAGAGAATTTGCTAACACTAGCCCCTAGCAAGAGCAGTGCTTTGTAGAATCTACCACGGGATATCCACACAATGGAATATATTCCGTTTGAGTTATGAAATATATAATCATTTGGTGATTTCATATTGTGTTTAACGGTATATATATATTTATTGTATGTATGTATTTTCTATAGTAATGTGTTGTTAATAGTACACCGCAATATACCTACTGTATCTTTATCTGTCCAGAATTTCGGGTAATTAAACGGTTGTCTGGAAGAGATCGCTTTTAGCGATAAGACCGCCTATTGTACAAACGTATCGGCTTGTTGGCTGTTTTCTGATAGCCCAAGAGCCCGCGACAGCCAGACCTTCGTTATTTTATAAAAGCTGAAAGTTTCTCTGTGTATGTCTCCAACACAGGTAAGAACGACCCGCGATTATAGAGTTTCGATTGTGGTTACTTGGGCAGGTAACAGGCAGTAAAGGTATATAAAATAGTACCTTAAATTCGTTAAAGTATAAAGGTTTCTTTTTTTAATATTTACTCCAGAATATCTTTAGAAATCACGATATCCGTTGCCGGACACTTTTTCCAGTTGTTACCCCCTGCCAGACACCCCTAAACTTTAATAAATTTTAATTATACTTTCGTTATACTATAAAAGCTAAATTTTATATATGTTACTTAGGGACTTATAAAAATATGTTACCCCAAGAGCCGGACAGTTTTAATGGTTCTTACATCTTGCCAGACACATTGAGAGCCCGCTGTAGGTGCGAGCGCGAGGTAGCAACTGTTCAAGCGGGTGTGAGCGAGATAGAGTGCTTAGTCTATTGTGATCT